TTGTTGTTGTTTTTGGCGGGGGCTGGGTTTGAACCCACCACCTCCGGCATATGGGACCGGTGTCCTACCCTTTTGAGCCACAGGTGCCACCCCTATAACAAAATATTTTTAAGAAATCACTGCTCAAGAAGCCCAAGAAGGACTAGAAAACTCAAGGAGCTCGAATATAGAAAAGCAAAAGAAGCAACCTCACTGAATAAATTTATTTATATATTTGTTTATTTATTGAGACAGTCTTACTTTGTTACCCTCGGTAGTGTGCTGTGGCCTCATAGCTCACAGCAACCTCAAACTCTTGGACTTAAGCGATTCTCTTGCCTGAGACTCTCCAGTAGCTGGGACTACAGGTGCTAGCCATAATGCTCAGCTATTTTCAGAGATGGGGGTCTTGCTCTGGCTCAGGCTGGTCTCGAACATGTGAGCTCAGGCAATCCACCTGAGTTTCCCAAGTGCTGGGATTACAGGCATGAGCCACTGTGCCATGCCCCCTCACTGAATAAATTTAAAGGGGCAGCTGACTGGCAAAATAGCTTTGTCATGACAAAGCTTCCTCTGGCCAGGCATGGTGGCCCATGCCTATAATCCCAGCACTTTGGGAGGCTAAGGCAGAAGGGTCCTTGAGGAGTTCAATACCATTCTGAAAAACATAGATTTCATCTCTCAAAAAAAAAAAAAGAAAAAGAAAAAATTAGCTGGTGTTATGGTACATGCCTATAGACCTAGGTATTTTCAGAGGCTAAGGCAGGAGGATCACTTGAACCCAAGAGTTTGAAGTTGCTGTGAATTAGAATGATGCTATTGCACTCCAGCCTGGGCAACAGCTAATTTTTCTATTTTTGATAGAGATGGGGCTCTTATGTAGGCTGGTCTCAAACTCCTAACCTCAAGCAATCCTCCTGCCTTAACCTCTCAAGAGTGCTAGGATTACATGTATGAACCACTATGTTTGGACATGAAAAGATATTTTTGAGATAAATGAGGAAAACTTAACATGGTATAGTCATTAGATAATATTAAGGATTTACTTCACATTTTGTTGAGTGTGATATTATGGTTGTCTTTAAAAAGTGCATATCTGGGCTTGGCTGAGGCGCCATCCACATACACCCGAGCTGTCAGGTTCGAATCCAGCCCAGGCCCGCCAAACAATGATGGCTGCAAACAAAAAGTAGCCGGGCATTGTAGCAGGTGTCTGTAGTTCCAGCTGCTTGGGAGGCTGAGGCAAGAGAATCATTTAAGCCCAAGAGTTGGAGGTTGCACTCTACTGAGGGTGACATAGTGAGACTCTGTCTCAAAAAAAAAAAAAAAAAGTACATATCTGTTAGTATATAATGAAGAATTTACGAGTGAAATGGTATGATATCTGGAATTTGCTCTGAAATCCTAGAGAAAAGATGTACGGATTGGAGAAGACAAAACTAAAAAATGGCAGAGAGATGAAGTCTTAAGGCAGTGACATCTGAGTATGACTTTCTCCTTTTTAAAACAAGTGTGCTGGGGCGGCGCCTGTGGCTCCAAGGGGTAGGGTACCAGCCCCATATGACAGGGGTGGCAGGTTCAAACCCAGCCCTGACCAAACAAACAGACAAACAAAAAAAGTGTGCTATCTTCCTCTGTCAGAGACACAAACATTCCATTCTAACAGAAAGCTTGCCCTACCAATGATACTTGTGCACTAGTATTCCGTGGTGGATCCAGACATTACAAATATAGCCAAACTAAACTGGAACACATACATTTTGGGCACTGCTGTTGAGATTCTCACAGGAGATGGGCAGCAGTGTGCTCAGCTCCAGGTCTGTCACCATCTGACGAGATTCAGCCAGCAAGCGCTGGAGTTTACTTGTGGGGGAAAAATCATCCTGGGAAGATAACACATTTAAGCATTCATGAATTTAAGAAGCATTTTAAAATGTGTACATTTACAAATACAACATTACAAACACAAGTTAACTACCTGCTAATATTTCTTCCACTTTGGGTATTACAAAGCAAAGGAAGACATCAAGTAGTACAATAACCAAACTCCTTTTATTTCTTAGAACCTCCTCAGTTAAATAATTTGACTTACTTAAATACATCCAGATGATAAAAACATCCCAGGCATTGTTTAGTTCTCCTAAATCAAACTTTCTTTCTTTCTTTTTTTTTGAGATAGAGTCTTGCTCTGTTGCCAGGGTTGAGTGCAGTGGTGCCATCACAGTGGTGCAACCTCAAACTCCTGGGCTCAAGGGATCCATGTTTCTGCCTCTCAAGTAGCTGAGGCTACAGGCACCCACTACAACACCAGTATAATTTTTCTATTTTTAGTAGAGATAGGGCCTTGCTTTTGCTTAGGCTGGTTTTGAACTTCTGAGCTCAAGCAATCTGCCCACCTTGGTCTCCCAGAGTGCTAGGATTATAGGTGTGAGCCACCAGACCCAGCCCTAAATCAACTTTTCAAGGCCATACTTAGCATGTCAAAATATTTAGAAAATGAAGCTTTAACACTAAAGGGGTTATAAATGTATAGTTAATTTTCAACTGGGGATCTGAATTTTTAGCATGAAAATGAGTCATTGCCAATTGATCTCTGTTAAGCAGAATTAATTTCTAGTTTTCCATGAACAAGGATCACTATTAACCTGACGTACAGAAGATGTTTAACAAACATGTGCCAAATGAAAATATCTGTGTATATGTATGGATAACGTAGGCATGCAATGTTATGTACTACCTGAGGAAAAATAGGTACAGAGAAAGGGTCTCCAAGAGCTAACAACAAAAAAAAAGGTAATAGCAAATATTTTCCATCATATTTATAGCTTTAAAAAAACTAATGGTTTTAATGTAATATAGATGCCATACAACTACCTATACAATTAAAGTATACAATCTGATGAGTTTTGACACATATATATCCACCCCTGAAACAATGACTGCAAAGAATAGTGAACCCATTCATTCCACTCAGTCCTGTGGAATTCCTCCTCTGCCCAGTGTGTCCTTCCTCTATTCCCAGACAACCACCGACTGCTTTCTGTAATGACAGATTAGTTTGCAGTTTCTAGAATTTCATATAAATGCATTGAAACTTTTATCTGTTTGGCTTTTTTCACTCAGTATAATTATCTTGAGATCCACCCATATTATTGTGTGTGTAAATGATTCTATTTTATTGCTGAGTATTCCATTTATGCACATCCTATAGTTGTTTATCCATTCACCTGTTGATGAACATTTGGGTTGTTTCCAGGGTTTTTTTGGCTAGTAAGTTGCTTGAAAATTCATGTAAAGTTTTTGCGTAAAAATATGTTTTCCTTTCTTTAAGAATGGAACAGCTGGGTCATACGGTAGGTATATATTTTAAGAAACTACTAACAAGTTTTCCAAAGTAGATATACTGGTTACATTCCCACCATCAGTATATGAAAGTCCCAGTCTAGTCAATACATGGTATCAATTTTTAAATTTCAGGCATTCCAATAGGTATGAAGTAGTATTTCAATGTGGTTCTAACTTGTATCCCGCTAAGGACAAATAATGCTGTGCATCTTCTTGCATGCTAAACTGCCATGTATCTATAGCTTTGTTTTCAATTCACAGAGCAGTTCTCTCTGCTTATTCAATCCAAAGAGACAATATTCTTCAGGTCTGGCTAGAATATCCCTCCTTTAATCACTTCTCCAGTTTTTACCTCATTTCTGCACTGTGCTAACAAAACTAACGCTCATCAAATACCTAGTAAGGACTGTGCCCTACAATATCTCAGTTAGACCAAGCAACTGTGGTGTTATGACTACATATTTGCAGAGGAAGAAACTAAAATTCGGGGAAATTAAATAACTTTACAGGTAGCCCCCAAGTTATAAACATCTGACTGAAGTGTGACTTACAGTTGTGGATAGAGGCTATTACAGGAAAAAGGTAAATGTACCTGTTCCAACTCACATATAAATTCAACTTAAGAAGAAACTTACAGAATCTACTTTGTTTATAACCCAAGGACTGCCTGCCCTGAACTCACAGAATTAAGACAAAGTAAAACAGAGATTTAAACCTAGGTAAGTCTAGTTTAATGCTCAAGTAACACCAAAAGTAAGTTTACTCTAGCTTATTTTCTTTGTAAAAGAGCTAAATAATACCAAAAGAAACTCATAGAATTAAGACAAAGTAAAACTTAAACTTACAGAATTAAGACAAAGTAAAACAGGGATTTAAACCTAGGTAAGTCTAATTTAATGCTCAAATAACACCAAAAGTAAGTTTACTCAAGCTTATTTTCTTTGTAAAAGAGCTGCAATGAAGATCCCATTTATGATGAAGACACTGGTAGGTAATGACCTCAAAGAAATTCTTGTCTGGCTCGGCACCCATAGCACGGTGTTTACACCAGCCACATACACCAAGGGTGGTGGGTTCGAACCCAGCCCGGGCTTGCTAGACAACAATGACAACTGCAACAAAAAACAGCTGGGCATTGTGGCGGGCGCCTGTAGTCCCAGCTACTTGAGAGGCTGAGGCAAGAGAATCGCTTAAGCCCAAAAGTTTGAGGTTGCTGTGGGCTGTAACGCCATGGCACTCTCCATGGGTAATGTAGTGAGACTCTGTCTCAACAACAACAGCAACAAAAAAAAAAAAAAAAGAAATAAAGAAAGAAAGAAAGAAATTAATTCTTGGCAGCTAAGGTGCCAGCCACATACACCAGACCTGGTGGGTTTGAATCCAGCCCGGGCCTGCCAAACAACAATGACAACTATAACCAAAAAATAGCTGGGTGTTGTGGTGGGCTGAGGGAAGAGAATAACTTAAGCCCAGGAGTTGAAGGTTACTGTGAGCTGTGACACCATAGCACTCTACCCAGGGCAACAGCTTTTGACTCTGTCCCAAAAAAAAAAAAAGAAAGAAAGAAAGAAAGAAATTCTTGTCTGTAAGCACAGAGAGGTGAACAGGGATGTCCAGGCTAGTGTAGGAACACCTCACTGCTCAGCAGTAGGGACTTGGATAAACTGAGTTTTATTCCTTTAACAGACTACACATCAGTCAATAGTAAAAGGAACAGACTTAGCCAGGTGTGGTGGCTCATGCCTATAATCATCCTAGCACTCTGAGAGGCTGAGTGGGCAGATTGCTTGAGCTCAAGAGTTCGAGACCACCTGAGCAAGAGCGAGATGCCATCCCTACTAAAAAAAAAAAAAAATAGCTGGGCATTGTGGACTACCCCTGTAGTCCCAGCTACTCAGGAGGCTGAAGCAAGAAGAACACTCAAGCCCAAGAGTTTGAGGTTGCTGTGAGCTATGACACCCAGGGTGACAGACTGAGACTGTCATAAAATAAAAATAAAATAAATAAAATAAAATAAAATAAAATAGACTTGGTCTACTATATCTACAAATACCAGCATGGATAAATATCACAAAATATCAACAGAGTAGGAAAAGTCATATTGCAAAAGGATATGCAATATCTTACCATTTATGTACATTTTTAAGATACAAAAACACTATATAACATTTACATATATACTTTTATGTGATAAAAGTCAACTTTAGGACAGTGTTTAATTGGTGGGAGAGTGGACGGGGGAGAATGCTTATAGGACTTAGACTTCATCTCCAACAATTTCTTTAAAAAGAAAAATAAAGCAAACATACAGAAAATTAAACTGTTAAATATGAATGTAGGTACAAAACTATTTGTTATATTCTTTTTTGTATGTTTAAAATATTTGTTAATTAAAAATAAATACATCAGGCTCAGTGCCCATAGCTCAAGGGTGGCGGGTTTGAGCCTGGCCTGGACCTGCTAAACAATGACAACTGCAACCAAAAATAGCCGGGCATTATGGCAGACACCTGTAGTCTCAGCTACTTGGGAGGCTGAGGCATGAGACTCACTAAAGCCCAAGAGTTTGAGGTTGCTGTGAGCTATGATACGTGGCATTCTACCAAGGGCAACATAGGGACATTCTGTCTTATAAATAAATAAATAAATAAACAAAGAAAGAAATCACCTAGCAGGCTTAAGGGGTGCCCCCACCTAAAGCTGATTGATAGGATACTTAGAGAAAACAGAAAGTGAATTTCAGTTAATCACAGAAGCCAAAGAAGAAGGTCCCAGCCCTCTCTGGAACAGATACTGTAAAAATAATTGATCTATAAAGACTAAGTCAACATTTCCAAGTGTAGAAACCAAAAGAGAGGATGTCATTAAATAAGGTCTTTCTTTCCCTAAATTAGAGGGGTTTTTTTGGGTTTTTTTGAGACAGAGTTTCATCTGTTGCCCTGGGTAAAGTGCCGTGGTGTCATAGTTCACAGCAACTTCCAACTCTTGGGGCTCAAGCGATTCTCTTGCCTCAGTTTTCCTATTTTTTTAGTAGAGAAGGGGTCACTTTTGCTCAGGCTGCTCTTGAACTCGTGAGCTCAAGCAGTCCACCCACCTCGGCCTCCCAGAGTGCTACTATTACAGGCATGAGCCAGTGTGTCCAGCCTAAATCAGAGGTTCTTAACTTCAAGCATGCATCAGAATTACCTGAAGCGCTCAGGAAAACAGACTGCTGGGACGCTCTCCCAGTTTCTGATTCAAGAGCTCCTGGGTGGACCTAGAAACTGCATTTCTAACAAGTTCCCAGGTGCTGCTAATGTAACAGGTCTGGAGAACATGATTTAAGAAAGAACCACTGCTCTTTTATTTATTTATTTATTTTGAGACAGAGTCTCAAGCTGTGGCCCTCAGTAGAGTGCTATGGTATCACAGTTCACAGCAACCTCAGACTTGTGGGCTTAAGCAATTCTCTTGTCTCAGCCTCCCAAGTAGCTGGGACTACAGGTGCCCACCACAATGCCCGACTATTTTGTTGCTGTTGCTGTTGCCATTGTTGTTTTATCCGGCCC